AGCAGGTGATAGTTAAAGTTTAGGAAATGGCGGGGCGTGTGCTAGACCCTACTTATGGAATAGATTTGGAAATACAGAAGTCTTTCAACAAAACCACCGGTCGCCAACCTTACCCTTCTAAAACGATGGCTTCTCAATTATCCCTAAGTATTTTGCAATACGAATCTACCTTTAGAATAAGAAAATACTTTCACTCTCATGATCTGATCATCTAAAGTCACTGCATCCAAATCATCAAATTGGGTTCTACATAGTGAATTGGCTCATCCACTCACGAACTTCTTCAAAGTAAAAACCCAGGCCAAATGGAGCTGACAAACACTTTAAGGCACATCTGAATTTACTATGGTACAAGACTAACTGAATTACTCTCCTGTAAAGTAGATCCAGAGTCATCTCCGTCTATGAGTAACACGAATGACCGTCAACTTTCTTAGAAATTACTACCGTTGAAATTTCGGACGAGAAGTATTCAGCTATGTCACAAGTATCTCGTCCATAATGGGTATGCCCTCATTCTCACATTAGCTTAGCGGTAAATTCCGCGGGGCTTGAAGCAATTTGGTCACTAACGAACGGATTCCATTATGGGGATGCTAACGGTGCACCTTACGTCTCGTCCTTGGTTTCGGAAAATTTGGGAAAACAAAGCGCTCAATAGCAAGTCTAATTTATTATTTGTTTCGTCCGAGACCCATTTATTGAGTCGTGGTGAATCCAGAAATCTAAATGTCCAGTTCATTTGGGAACCCAGCGCTGATCCCAGTTTGCTCGTTTATTTCAGGTACTCGCAAGTAGTGAAGACGATTGACTAACTAGTCCTTAACCCGTGCTTCCGCCAAGATGTTTTCCAGTAAATCAGCAAGTTTTATGTGGCTTACATGGATTCTGTATTAGCTGGTAGATACACAGTTACTATTTGGTTTGAGAATTCTGTATCTGCTCCAAATGACCGTCCAATAGCAAGCGTAATGAGGTATCGTTAGGGGAAATCGAAGTGCTGTGTAGTCAAATCAGTCTAGTTGCCATCAACTCGAGAAGCCAGAGGAACTTATTACTTTTCTCACTATCTTTTAGCAGTTTTCCAAATCCTTCCTCGGCACTTTGACGTCTGCCTAATTCATCATGTGAAGCTTCGTTAAAAGCATCCGGGCTATTGAACGATAAACTTGGAAACAGCTGACTTCGCGGACCTGACTTACTCCTTCCACACCGTCAATTTCAGTGGATTGGAAAATCCCCGGGGGATCAAGTGAATCGAAAGACCGTTGGACAGGCGTTTGGCAGCCTAGTCTAGGGGACTCAGTTTTGGGGTTTACTGGCTATCCAATAGTTGACTCTGACAACTCTCTCGTACCCTGTCTTTGCCACCCCACTCATTCGATCTATCTTGCACACCTGAAAACAGGATCCTCAAATTGCATCTTCCAGTTTAGTCTGATCTGACCTCAGTATTCCCGTCTGCTTTCCAACGCTATTTGAAGCGGGTTCGGTAATTTCACTCGTCTACGCACCCGATGGCAAACAATAGCCAACTCGTTCATGTAGATTCTGAATATCCTGTGGAGTTTCTAGTTTAAAAGTACGGAAGATTGTAGCGTGAAATCTTTCCTAACTGTTTTTTTCTAAACAGTTTTTGACGGTGGCGATAAAGCGTGGATAGCAAGAAACGTTGTTTCAGGGAGTACCCACAATGAGAGCCGATCAACGAATAATTAGGATTCAACTTTTTGCTCGAATGAATATCAGTGGTAAACTAGCCGTACAAAATCCGTCTGTGTGGTCTGCCGTTGTCTTGATGTGTGAAGGGCTGAACCCAATTTGTTAATAGAGGACCTTGGAGCAATAAATGCAGTCAGTGCAAAGCGGTATAGGTAGAAGTGGTAAAAATGATGCACTTTCAGAGCGGGATTCTACTCATAAGCATTCTGGGAACTCGTAGACTGCCCGCGGCTTCTTTACCCTGTTTACAGATAAATTATCCGATTGACGCGGTCCCCTGGCCACTTTGTCTAAGAATTTTGAAAGCATACTTACTGACTTCTAAGAAACATAACTTTCCGCTTGAGTCTGGTGAGGAAGCAATAACTCACAGTAGGCAGTTGAAAACATCTTTTGATCATTTAGGTGTTTATACAAAAACGTATACAGGAAATTTCTTCAGAAAGAGGAAAATTTGTCAAGGGAATTGAGATTGCAAAGTAATCTTTTTGACATACTAGCCTGATCATGGATATATATCCGCCATCAGGTTGATGTGCACCACTGCTGTAATTTTGTATTGTTTTGTACCACCGTCTGTCTTCTCAGGCCGTTTGTTTCTGAACATGGCTCGTGGACGTCAGTAAAGAAACGTCAACTAATGAGCTGAACATGATTATATGATTTACCAATAATTAATTGAACGTGGATTGAACGTGGTATAAAATTTTGTGCATTATCAAGAAAAACTGGCTAGCAACTGCTTATTTTAACGAAATAAAACGTTATATTTTTCGATATAGACCAATTGAGATGATAGACCAAAAACTCTTCGGGGTTTATTTATCACACAAACGTTCCATTTAACAAACTCGCGAAAATTTACTGAGGAATAAGTAATGTGTGTCACGTGACTCTGGAGGTTTAGGATAAAAGGTTTAATGATAAAGAAGGGACCAAATGCATATCACAGGATGAAAAGCGTATATGCATGTGGGGGGGGTTGCGGGTTTCAAGCCTCTGTGGCGCTACCTGACTGGGAAGTCCTGACAAGCGGGCCAGTCGATCGTCACAACCAGGACAGTTACTGGGTCGTCGTATCGATGATGTGTCAGGCATACTAATCACATCGCTCAAGTGCGATCACGTTCGCCCGTTCAGATGTGAGAATTCAGATGCGTCCAACGTGTGCTGGTGGAATGGTGGTAACACGTTCGCCTCGCATGTCAGGTGTCCGGATTTCAAACCCCGACACGGCCATTGGATATGCACTGCTGATGAGCTCTAACAAGAGCGAAACTCGAGTCCAATGCTTCCCCCCCCCTTTGGTGTGGATTCACATGAATAATTGCGCCAGGACAGGAGGACGACTGTTCAAAACGAGAGTGACGTGAAACTGAACAAAGAAGGGATTGTAAAACTAACGTGACCGGTCTGTTTGAGATACCATAATTTCAACAAAGCATTATTTTAGACAGTTACTTAGTTTTTTCACGATAGAGCACGCGCCGATGTGCTCGGTCGTTTAATACTACCTGCAATGTCGATATTTTTGTTGATATTTAAGTGTAGCCGTTAGATAAAACTATAATAGTTCATATCTTGTCGGGACAAACCTCTTGCGGGCTTGTACTACTTTCCCCTTATCTTACCAGACACATTAGAACATATTGATGAGAATCTAACTAGACTGTCTTTATTATAAACTGACATTATAATTATCTTATCGAGCTTCGAGAGACGAAGCTTTAAAACCTCGCTGATTTCTCAAAATTGTCTACCCTTATTTTGCAATCTAGTCAATATCCAGACAAACTGTGTTGATGGATCACCTGCTCTATCAAGGATAATTTTTAGCATCTTAAATTTCTGTAGTGTTTGCCATCCGTTAAGGTATTCCGAGATTTTAGGCTACAGAGTTTTAAACACGAATGGGATGGTAAACAAACTTTAGGGGACGTACTGGAGCACATGACTATGCATTCGTCGAACGAAATAGATCGCTTTGAAATAACGTGATCCGTAGGAGTTGAGTAATCACTGGAGCTCTGGAAGAAGCACATATAAGAATATATCAGTATGTGTGGTCTGATGGCGGTAAACGACCATGCATAATAAGTCAAAAGTTTCCGGAAACAATTTTGTAACCTTGTTTGTCAATATTTACACTTAGAACTGCTTGAAAACCTTTATCATACTTTCATATGCTCGAGTCGGAGTAATTCTGACGCCTTCAGGGGGTTGATCACAACGCAGTGAACTGAAATCTACTTTATAATAGATAGGTTTCTCTCAAACAGGTCCCTCATGAATGCTTAATTTTCGGATGCCGCACACCCCAATCAAAGTAATTAGGCTTGCAATGACTGAAATAGGCTTAAGACTTTTTACTTAGTTTTCTGGTCCTCACGGGTCATTCAGTTAAAGTACTTAATATGGTAACGCATCGACATACTACCCAAAATCATTAACAATTCTTGATAACTAACCTCATTTGCATACTAGTTTGGTTTTGATGGGCTAAATCTGGCGTTGATATGGGTCCGCTAAAATTTGTGTTGTGTACTCTAATCCCAGTTAGTTTCACCGTTTCTTCAGAACAACTTTGGAAGTGGCATTCTTCTGTTCATCATATTGCTCGAGCGTGTTGTGACAGGTTGGCTATCCAACCCAATGCAGATTTCATGCACTACGGCTAACAGTCTAAAAGTATGCCCCGCCGAAACTGAGATGGTGTCCGCAAACGTCTCTAGTGGATGGTCAAAAGCTCCTATGTGGACTGTATTCACCTAGAACTACAACCACCATTACGGCCAATCGCATCGACCTCTGGGACACCAAAGCACAGCCCCTCAAAGAACTATGGGAAAAAGCTTACTATCTTAGCAGCGTTCTCACTGTTTAGTGAACAGCCCTAAACGACCAAATCAGCGGTTATTCTGAGATCAATAGGTTCCGATTACCGTTCCGAAATCCAATGAAATACGGATATCTTTTTAAGGTGGATGATCGATTTTTACGTTTATCCGTAATCCAAGTCATAAGGCTACAGACGAGCCTTTTCAACACAAAAGCGGAGCATGGAGATGGTGGTTAGGTTGGATAACGAACAGCAGGAGAAACATCTTATAGCGGGGATTGCAACTAGACTATTTTTTTTAGGAAATTTGCAGGCACCTCCTGAAGAGGGATCTTTTACATTGTTGTCTTAATACAGCTAGTCATGTTTACTGCTTGTGTTAGGTCCAGATTTCGATGACTCAAATATAAATCAATATGCCGAAACACTGTAATAGGAAATGTTAGACGAACAACGTGAACCACAACAAAAGGCTACACGAGAACGTGGATATTCCAAAGGAGGAATAACTGAGGACCACCGTATTCTGCAAGGTCGGTTGGTGGAAAAATGTTCAAACAAATCCTGTTTCCAACGGCTGGTGAAATTTATTCACGGCGTTACACTAGCAGGACCACCCGAAAGCACTCTGATATCTTTCACTTTCCGGATCATCGCCCAAGACTCTTTGGACTAATTTTCCGCTTTTGGATCGAGCCACATTTCACGTGTTTCGGATAATAAGCTGATTGCAAAGAGTACACTATTAAATTAAACACGACATGTCCAAATTTGCAATAGCTTATTTTAAAAAACTCCCTTCATATTATCCACTGCCGCCAAATAACTTAGAGGTTCAATGTTTTAAATGCAGATGTACCGTTCTTACCAGCAATACAGAAAATAATCGTTGCCTTATCACCAAATGTTGTCATAAGTTTGGATAACTTACTTGAGTAGCATGTGTGCAATTTTCAATGCAGTCATTATTAGAAAATGTCCACATGGCACCCGTCACTAACGGAATGAAAAAAAGTGTTTGGATGGACAGCATTTTTCGTCAGTTTCGCGAAACCAATACATGATAAAGGCAATTTTATTTGACAAACTCGGAAATGCACTATCCTGATTGGCCAATGCAACTGGCTGAAAAATCAACAACAATAACAACAATAATAATGGGTTCTGCGCGGTCCCATCTGTTAAATTTATTTAGCATCGGCATACTTATGAAAAGATCACCGACAGAGTTCAGTTATCAACACTACAGTTTTCTGAAAGCGGGTAAACTAACTGGAGTTTGTATACACAAAGCCAGAATTGGATTAGCTTATAGGTCCTACTTGCCTGCGTTTTACGGGGAATTTTTTCATCAGTGGTCCAAAACATTACGTTAAACTACTGAACTCAGTAACTTTTGAGAACAATTATAACGTTTTATTAGCAAAACACGTGCCTGTAAGAATGTTTTCGACAACATCTGTTGTATTTTGCCACTTGATGAACTTTTAATGCCATCTGTAGTGTTTCTCATAGCCGCTACTGCGGTTATCTGGGAGATTGTTGCTCTCAACAAAACAATTCAGGGGCGAACCTACCTGCATTATTTTCAACAAATTCGGGAGGAAATTTTTTTTCAATCCATGGGAGCAGGACTGAAGTATGCAGTCACCCAACAAAGGAGAGTTTCTCACTGGTGTGTTGAAAAGGGACAACAAAATCAGGGCATTCTATTAAAGTAACAAAAGTATTATCGCTGTACGGTTTTTGTGCATGGAGCTAGACAATCCCAATTACTCTATATTTGGTACGAGTGGAAAAAATCCCTCGCCTTACTTTGAAGACCGAACTAAAATATGGCTGCATACCAGGACAAGCGTCTTCCGGGAATAAAATGTTAGGAGTTTCTCTGTTAATCAAATCAGAAGATCAATTTTCCCTCAGTAAACTCAAAAATATTCAAAAACAACGCGTATATTTTTCTGCATTTTTGAAATAAACCAAAGGTGATCTTTTTTGTTGTGCAGAGAAAACTTCAAAGGGCTTGTGACAAGTACACTGTGAACTTCTGTAAGCTTCACTAATTAGACAGCCTAATGGAGAGAGAAAATCATAGGCATACGCAACACGACATGGTTCTACACATGGAGCCAATCTTACCAAAAATTTTTGAAGGCTTTGGTGGATTAGTGATCTCAGCTGGAGTGCAGACTCAGCCGCAATCGATGCGATCTCCTTTATGTCGCTCACGCTGACTCCTGCTATATCTCGGAGAGGCTTATGCAATAATAAGTAAGACCACTTCCAAAGACATCAAAAACAGACCCTTTTGAACAACGGGAATCTCCTAAACAATGACGGCTTCCGAGATTTCTCAAGGCAAATTAAGGGCGTGCATCCCAGCCAGAGCCCTTGATACTCAGCCAGCGCTGTGGCACTAGCAGTTTAACCAAAAATACAGGCCATTTTGTGTTCCCTGCACAAGTGTAACTGAAGGTGGTGGTGATAACTACGCTGCAAAGCCGAAACCAATCAAACTTTATTCGAAAGCTTGAACCCATTCTTCGTGTACGGCCCAATAAAGACTGCTATCTCTTCAGTTCACACATTCTGAAATTATATCCCATAAAACCAGTTAGATTTTGCCAATGATCTTTATTGAAACGCAAAATTATGCCATTTATTGCCTGGAAATAAACTGCATTGTCTCTTTACAACAACAACTGAATGGTTGACTGACGGGTCAATTAGAATGTCTTTCCGACAACCGACAGAAGGAAGTGAAACGTTCAGAACACCTGTTTACGTGGAGGAGATATTCGGGGCAGCATTAAAGGCAGCATTACGAAGCTGAGGACTAAACGACATCCAGTTGATACAGGGTGTGTCTACAACAAACTGTCATTAAAGGAAGACAGTCGCTGAGTCATTTACCCCAAAACTAAATAGGTCAGTTCACGTGATGTACATAAGCGCCAATTTTGTGCCTGAGTTTCAGCTCCACTCCCACTACAAAGTTTCATTTGAAAGACAACCAACCGAATTCTACCATCAGTTCCCGCCTGCGCTAATTCATATCCCCACGTGGGGTTGTGAGATGATACGATGTACGACCGAGAAAGACCACATTAAGCCTCATCAAGAGTGATACGATTCTAACTATTATCCATCGCAGGGGCCATCGGTATTCGGCCGTTTTCCGCAAATCTGCTCTTTAAGAGCATTTGCACGACGTTTGACGTTAAGTTTGCAGACGAATAGTTTACTTCCACAAACTTGTTCAGCAATGACATAATTCAAGATAACCCGTGACACATAAACCTTTATTTGGCTCACGTTTTTTCAAACATGTACTTTTGAATTTGCCAAAATTCACCGGGAGTTTCTGTTTGGTCCCATATGGTTATTAGTCAGCCAAGAAAACCAAGTTCAAATAACATGCTTTGTTTAATTGGCTTCGTTTTGATGAATTCAGAATACGTTGTGGAATTTTACGACTTTGCTCAGTTTGATGATGCGTGGAAAGTTCGTCTGTTGCTGCGGAAACTGGGGACAGCTGAACACGATCGGTTCACAAATTTCATTCTCCCCAAACTCCCTCGTGACCTTGGTTTCGCAGATGCTGTCAAAATTCTGGCCCAAATATTCGGTGAGCAAAGTTCCTTGTTCAATATTCGTTATCAGTGTCTCAAGATTACCAAAAGGGATACTGAGGATTTCATCACATATGCCGGTGTGGTCAACAGAGAATGCGAGCGCTTTCAGCTCAGCTCCATGACCGAGGATCAATTCAAGTGTCTCATCTTTGTGGCTGGTCTTCAATCACCACACGATGCAGATATTCGGACCCGGCTACTGAATCGAATTGAACAGGATCCAGTGTTGACGCTTCAGAAACTTACCACCGAATGCCAGCATCTTATCAATCTCAAGGCCGATGCTGCAATGATTGGACATTCCAAATTCTCTCAGCCTGATATGGTATGCAAAGTAACTTCCAAAAGGAAGTCAAGTTCAAAACGAACTCCAAGAAAACCGCCCACACCCTGTTGGTTTTGTGAAGAATGGCACTATTCACGCCACTGTCCCTACCGGACCCACAGGTGCAGTAAGTGCAGTCGAAAGGGTCACAAAGAAGAATGCTGCAGAGACGACTTCAGGAGCTCGCGCAAACACCGACCCGACAAAAGGACGCAGGCAGAGGCTGTGACCGCCACATTCAGGATGAAATCACCTGGTCGACGTAAATTTGTCACATTATGTATCAATGGCACACCAGTTACTCTCCAACTGGATACAGGTTCTGACCTCACTCTGATTTCAAAACGAACCTGGAACGAAATTGGAAGGCCACCAGTGGAACCCACAAAGTGCATCGTTCGTAATGCATCTGGTGGAAGCCTCAAACTGACCGGGAAGCTGAACTGTTCCGAAATGCTCAAAGGGATTCAATTCAGTGGTACTTGCTACCTCATGAACTATACAGGCCTTGATCACTTGGGCCTGGATTGGATTATTGAGCTTCAACAGTTGGATGAACCCCTCAATGCCGTTTGTGACGAAACAACTGCAGATGGCCCCGATACGTTCACGAGAACACATCCTGACGGTTTTGTGGTCGCTACAGTTACAGCCAAACCGGAGAACAGATGGAACATACGCGACACAGTGACTATTCAGCCTCGGGCGTTAGTCCAATTTGATGAACCCTGCCAGCAGCCCGCGACGTTTCACTCGCGGTCTGAACCCTTCAGTTTACAGTCGCAGGTTCAGGTGAATCGTTCTACTGCTATCCGGAAAGTCAAGGAAGAGAGGCCGAACAGAAAAGACGCCACAACAGTCACACAGAGACCAGCCACTGATCCGAAGATATGGGGAATGCTCTCCACGGTGGACGCATGATGGACCAGATCAAACACGAGGCACACGTAAGATCATCAGCACAGCCGCGTCATATGAACCAACTTCAGGCAACAGACTGTGGCTCGGTGAGGGGACCACGTCGCATGAGACACCGGACAGCCGTGACATACCTCCCAAGTGGAGGGTACCGTATCCCAGATCAGCATGCTGGCAACCCCAGGGACGGGCCAACATGCGACAGAACCTCCATGAATCGTCACAATGGAGTTCAAAGCAGCAGTCCGTTGAACAGCCTTCTCAAGAAGAGGTGTTCGGTGGCCAGCCGTCCCTAATAACCGAACATTACATCATTTGGACGGATGTGTCACGTGCAGGACACGGGCCAAACGAGGGCGTGCCCTGATTGGTCAGAATGCCAGCCAATCCGGGCCGAGCATCCTTGACTGGATGCTTATTGCCCCCTAATGGTGCTTCTAGAACGACTTTGTGGAACACTCTGTGACTACCCTATAAATACAGTTGTAATAATTATCCTTTGTCTCCATAAACGGCTGTGTACAGTAGAGCTACCGTGCCTTTTGGTATACCATAATGAGCGGAGTAGGAAGCCAAGGGACCGATACAAAGTTGCACTACCATCTATCAAGTACAACAGCTAACCAGATAATTCGTTTGAGGCAAGAACAAGCGTACCACGAATGTCAAGAATAACTGCCTGCCATTTTTAGTCACAACAGTGTTCATATCTCCAACAGATCTTTACAACACATTACTTGACATGTAAAACGGACACCCGCAGAGTACCAGCTTGATCTTCTTCTTGTGTCTACCCAT